GGCTGTGCAGGGTGTTCCCTGTGCAAACCACGCACCCTGGCCAGGGCCACATGCCCCAGTAGGAAGGGCACCTCCCTTAATCCACACAGCACATCCTGTGGTTTGGCAGAGGCCCTGTCTAAAAGTATCATAAATAATAGGAGAGAGCTTTGGGAGTCAGCCGCGTTTGGGATCACGTTTACGTCATCTTGGGCTTATTGCTTAGCCATTCTGTATGTACTTTTCTTCACCTTCATGGACACAAAATGAGGTTGTAAATCCTGACCCCCTATTCCAGGGCTAGTGTCATGATTAAGTAAGTAAAGCGTCATCTGGTTGCTTAGCTCAGGTGCTTGGGCCAGAGAGCTGATGAGGCCCAGGTAAACCATAAGTGTTCTTTACCAGGAGTGAGCTTTGCACCCAGACAACCCCGCTCCACAGCTTGCAGGTGGCTCTCAGTGGCAGGTGCACTGGCTGAGGCTGTGAGCAGATCGGGGCTGTGATGGCTGAGAATGCACTGCAAGGCCCAGGGCAGAAGGGCTCACGGTGAGAGAGTCTAGGGACTGGACAGTGAGAAACTGTTTAGAGTGACAATGACATCCCATAAGATGCCGGCAGGACTGCCAGATGCACAGGGACAGATGGCGAGAGGCCTCCAGCCTTTTTGTGGCAAGAAGCTATTCAGTCCTCAAAGTATTTATTTTTATTATTTATTTATTTATGTATTTTTGGCAGGGTGGGATTAGAGCAAGGGATTATATTTCCTTCCTGGGCCTAGAAAATATTTCAGCCACTAAGATCTGGGTTTTCCAGGCAGGGAAGCAGAGCCCCATGAAAATTCCTAGCCAAGTTCCTCAGTTCTTGTTCAGCCAACAATACCGGGTGCATGAGGGTGTGGGTGCTGCAACTGTGGGGTTTGGCTTTGTGAACGACCTGCTTGCAAGCCCTGCCCACTGTGGAGCGGGAGGAGGACGCCTAGACAGGGGAAGTTGCCAGCCGAGGCACCCAGCTCAGCACTCACCTCTCCACCCAGTTCTTGTAGCTGGGGATGTCCTTGGCGTAGAGCAGCTTGTTGGAGGGCGAGTCCTTGCCCAGCCGGTGCTCCGACGTGGAGCAAGAGTCCATGAAGGTCTGGGCCACCACGGAGAGGCAGGCGTCCGTGATGCTGTTCTTATGGATGTCAAACACAAACTGGGGGTTCTTGATCATGTTGACCCAAAAGCGCAGAGGCAGACTGTGTAGAGGCAAGAGGCAGAGAGTCAGGGGAAAGGGGGTGCGGGCCTGTAGCTTGGCCGGAGAGCTCTCTGGAAAAAGAGAAGAGGCTGGGGAC